CAGACATACAGATGGTCAACAGACACATGAAAAAATGTTCATCATCACTTATCACCAGGGAAATGCAAATCAAAACCAACAATGAGATATCACCTCACACCTGTAAATGTCCCATATTTAAAAAAAACAAACAAACAGAAACAACAAGTTCTGGCAAGGGTGTGGAGAAAAAGGAACACTTACACTGTTAGTGGGAACATAGACTGGTCTGGCTCCTATGAAAAGTACTGCAGAGATTCCTCAAAAGACTAAAAATAGGCGCTGGATCTACCATATGATCCAGCAATTCCAGTCCTAGGTATCTACCCAAAGAACACAAAAACACTAATTCAAAAGGAAATCTGCATTCCTATGTTTATTGCAGCACTATTTATAATTGCTAAGCTATGCTAACAACCTAAATGCCCCAAAACAGATGAGTGGATCAAAAAGATGTGATATATATACACAGTGGAATACTACTCAGTGATCAAAAAAGAAACTCATGCCATTTGCAGTGACATGGGTGAAGCTGGAAGGAACATGCTAAGTGAAATAAGCCAGAAGGAGAAAGATAAATACAAGATGGTGTCACTTATACGTGAAACATAGAAAAATCAAACAAAGGGTCAAAGAAAGACAAACTATATTTAAAACCAACCCTTGAAAACTGACCATAGATCAGAGGCCTCCAAAGGGGAGGGGGAGAGGTTGAGAGAGTGTGGGGGATAATAATGGGAGAGTCCAATGGACTATGATGGAACACTGTGGGAGGAATCCTAATGTTAATCCAAAACATTAACAAAGAGGTAAAACCATTGTACTTCATTAATGGAAAAAAACTAAAAAGAGTACTGATGAGCTGTGGGGCAATTCCAAACAGCCCCAGAACATGTGATTAGTCTCCAAAAGCTTAAGAGGGAGAGAGAAAGAAATGGAGAAAGAATTTGAAGAAATAAGGATTGAAAAAAATCTCACAATTTGATGAAAACCAGAAATCCACAGACCCAAGAAGCTCAAGGAATTCTTGCAGAAAAACAATTAAAAACTACACCAGGACCTCCCTGGTGGCACAGGTGGTTCAGCATCGCACTGTGAAGCTGTCCACAGCCTCTGCAGTGCTGGTTCAATGTGGTCGGCTGGCGAGGGTCCCACAATGGCGCAGCAGACCTCTCCTGTCTCGCCCGCTGCTCCCCTCAGCTGTGTATTCATCATTCTGCCTGTTCTGTTCCCCGCTCTTTCTCTGGTGAATCCTCTCACCCTCCCATGCATCTGGCCTGTACCCTGGTTCTTGTATAAATAAATAAATCTTTAGGGAAATAAATAAATAAATAAATAAATAAATAAATAAATACTACACCAAAACACACAGTATTAAAGCACACATCACAAACTAATAAACAGAGAAAATTCTAAAAGTACTCAGAGAAGAAAGACCGATGACAGAGAAAGATGATAGCCACAGGTCTCCTGTTAGAAATGATGCCAAGTAAGATTGAAGGACAGCATCTTGAAAGTACTAAAAGAACAACAAAAACAGAAACAACTATCTTCCTTGAATTCTATGCCCATAGAAAACAGCTTTACAAAATGAAGACAAGAAAAATTATATCTTCAGACATACAAAAACTGAAATAATTACTTAACTCTAGAGCCATATTACAAGAAATGCTCACAGACATCCTCAGGGTAGTACAGTAGTTATCGCATTTGCCCCACAGACATACTTAGGTAGAAGAACTATGCCAGATGGGGAGTTAAATCTCCACAATAGAATATGAACATCAAAATAATAACTACATGTCCAGAAGTATCAGATTTTTCTTAATATTTAAATCTCTTTGGAAGAGAACTGTTTAAACAAAAATAATAACAATACGTTGTGGAGATTATAACACATGAAGGTACAATGTATGACAACATAGAACATGGAGTGGAAGGGCAGATGTGAAAGCATGTTGGCATACAGTTTTGCACTATACATGAAGAAGGAGGATATTACTAGGAGGTAGACTGTAACAAGTTAAAGATATCTACTCTAAACTCCTAAGGCAAATAGCTCATATTTGTATATTAGCTCAAAATGAACTGAAGACCTAAATGTAAGAGCTGAAATGGCAATATACCTCAGAGAAAACATAGGCATAAATCTTTGTGATCTGAGATTCGGCAATGATTTCTTAGATGTGACAACAAAAGTAACAATGGGTAAACTGAGCTTCATCAATAAATTAAAATTTTTTGTGCTGCAAAGGGTACTATGAAGAAAGTTTGAAAGATGAGGGTTTCCTTGGTGGTGCAAGGGGTTAAGTCTCAGCACTACGAAGCAATCTGCAGCTACTGAAGCATGAGTTCGATCTCTGGCCAGGGAGGTGACCCACATGACGCAGCAGACCTCTCCTGTCTCGCCCACCCGCTGCTCTCCTCAAGAATGTATTTCAAGAGATCTGCCTGTTCTGCTCCCACTCTGTCTCTGGTGAATCCTCTCACCCCCCGCCCCGCACTTCTGACCTACACCCCAACTCTTGTATGCATAAATGAATAAATCTAAAAAAAAAGAAAGTGAAAGATAATCCACAGACTGGAAGTATTTGCAAGTCACATATCCAGAATACATATCTGTAACTAACCCAAACCCAATTAAAAAATGGGCAAAGGTTCTAAATAAACTTCTCCATGAATATTCAAATGGCCAATGAGTATATGAAGAGATACTATGTGTCATTATTATTATTAAGGAAATGCAACTATACAATTTCACACCTACTTAGGATGGCTATAATAAAAGCAACACATATGCTGACAAAGATGAGGAAAAATAGGAAATCTCATATGTTACAGGTGAGAATATACAATGGCACAGTCATTTTCAAAAGGTTAAACACTGAGTTACCATAACTCAGCAATTCTTCTCCTAGGTATATACCCAAGAGAAATGAAAACTTATGTCCACACAAAAACTTATACACACAAAAAAATTCACAGCAGCATTATCCTAACAGCCAAAAAGTAGAAAAACTCAAATATCCATCAACAGACAGGTTGATAAAAAAGGTCATACAATGGAATATTATTCAGCCATAAAAAAGGAACAAAGTACTAATACAGGCTCTGTCACATATGAGCACTGAAAACATCATGCTAAGTGAAATATGCAATGACAAAAGGCCACATAATTATATGAAATGTCCAGAACAGCTAAATCTACAGAAAGTAGATTAGTGGCTGCCAGGGACTGCAGAGTGGAGGGAACAGGGAGTAATAACTACGAGGTACAGAGTATTTTGGGGAGGTAGTGAGAATATTCTAAAATTGATTATGGTGATGGTTGTACAATCCTGTGAATATACAAAAAACCACCAAATTTAATTCAAGTGAGTGAAATTTATGGTATGTGACTTATATCGCAAATAAAGTTGTTATAAAAATATGAAATATTAGGGATCAACACGACAAAGTATACAAAAATTCTGTATACTAAAAACTACACACAAATTTCCTAGCAGCATTGTTAGTAACAGCCAAGTGCTGGAAACAACCCAAATGTCCATCTACATGAATGGACAAAACATGCTTTGTCCAGAAAGGAGAACTGGGGAAAAAATGCATTTCTGCCCAGTGGTACTTTGTTATGGCTGCTCCCAATATAGCAGGACAGGGCTGATAGTTATAGTCACCATGCTTGCCTCTGGTGCTAGTTTCATATGTCCAACCTAATGAAGCCGTCCACTTTAAATATGTATGGTTTACTGTATGTCAATTGTATTTCAAAAATCTGTAAAAAGCACGGTCATTCACAGGGAGATATGCCATGGTTATGAGAGACAAAAACAGACCCAAGAGCTGCTACAGATTAATGGAGATGTGTCCCAGAGAAACAACAGTGGAATGAACACACAGTCCAGGGCTTTCTTCTGCCCTAAGGAACATCACTGAGACAACTGGCCATCTGTGCAGTCTGTTTCCTGGAGTGACTCTGTGATCCAATGGAATGAGGACAGCAAGCCCCTCTGGGAGACTTCCCAGGTTGCTGCCCGCTACTGCAGGCCAGCAACCTCCCCTTACTCCCTCAGAATAAGAGCAGTGGACAGTGAATTTCTTCTATACCATCCGTGATTCTAGAACCCAGTATCAAACATCAGAGAACCAGTTTCATGGTCAGGGTGGCTGCTCCATTCCCTCTCTTTGGGGCCATTTCTCTTCTGTTCCCTCCCTTCCCCTTCCCTGCTTATTTGCTTTCTTATTGCTGGGCACTCCTCCAGCAGAGCACAGAGCCCCTGGTGAACACTAGCCATCTGTTTCCCACCCAGACTAGCAGCAAACTGCAGCATGACATCTCTGGATGTCTCTGGGTCCAGTCTGTTTATTTAACACATATTTACTGAGCACCCCTGGGTGTTAGATCCATAAGAGCATTAAATGCCTGGCAGAACAAACCATGGTATCTGCAGGGCAGTGTCAGCACTAAGAAAAAGTGGAGTGTTGCAGAGACTGGATGGGTTGACAGTGTCATTGCAGGAGGGGTGCAACTCTAGTAGGACATTACAGCAGCAGCCACCAAAGGGAGGTGAGTCCTGCAGCTAAGCAGGTGGGCAAAGTGCAGCTCAGCAGGGCAGACAATCAGGGCAAGGTGCAAGGCCATAAAGACTTCTCAAAAGCATTTGCAGAATAGCAAGGAGGCTGGGGTCAGAGCAGTATGAACGAGCAAGAGAGGGTGTTGGTGCTGGGAGATGCTGCTGAGGGATGGGTCAGATCTTGTGGGACCAATAGCTGGAGCTGAGGAGGGCAGGCTCAGACTTGGAGCACCACCTCATCTGCTGTGTATTGCACAGACAGCTGGGGGCAGGCACAGCAATGAGGCTGCAGGGGTGACCCCATCTGGGTGCAAAGGCTCTGTGGGCTAGCAGGTGAGCTGTGGGGGAACATCCACACCCAGGTGCACAACACTGCCCTCTTTAGGGGGCTTCCAAAAGCTGTGAGGCCCTGCCACACTGGAGAAACATAGAATACAAGACACGTACCTTCCTTGGCACAGGCCAGCCCGCCAGATCCCCCTCCGATCACTAGAAGATCATAGTACTGCCGTCCTGCTGGGGTAAGGGGTAAGGGTAAGAGGTGAGAAGGTGAGCACAGATCCAGAAGGCAACACAATTTCAAACAGTTAGTGGCTCTGTCTAGGCAAATGAGATAAGGGATCTATTTTATGGGTTCATCCCACCTTGTGATGGGTTGTGGTAGCAACATATCACACATCAGGTAGGTCTCAGTAGATGTCTGCACAAATCCGTAAACTAACTGATGCAGAGGTGAGGTTGGCCTCAAGGGTGTAATCACCTTTTAGAAGCCCCCACCACCATGTCAAGAAGGTAATTTAACTGGCAAGACTATTCTGAACTCAAAGTTTACCCGCCATGTGAGCCAGACCCAGCATTATGACATTTTTCTTGAGTCCATTTGTCCTTCAGTTGTAAAGGTCACCCTCTGTTATCAGAGAAGCCTCTTGGAGAGTGCTCGGTGCATGGTGAGCTCCAGGAGGGGAGCAACTCTGAAGCAACAGCAGGACCTGTGACTTGGTTCCTCCTGGATTGGTCTTTCAGGCAAGACATTATCTGTCTCTCTTCTGCCAACTCCTGGCATGGCAGACAGGCAAGAGTCAGCCAGGGAAAAGGGAGTAGATGAGTGGCAGCCTGTGAGAGCTCTGACCTAATGCCCAAGTTGAGACACCCAGCCAAGCACTGGCCTGCTCCCTGTGGAGGGAGGGAAAAAATAATAAAAAATGAACAGTATGTGGAGAGGGCAGGGAGAAGGCTGCTGCTTTTGGGCAAAGCCCAGAGTCTCATGATCAAGTAGGGTCTGCTGCCTGAAGCTGGGTATCTGACCCCTTCCACACCAGCATCAGAATCTGAGGCCTGTCATAGGAAGGCTTGCATGTGTCTTTGCAGGAGGTAGCTACCTCCTGAGAGGCAAGGCTGCAGAGAATATGCCAAATGCCATGTTCTTCAGGAGCCCCAGCTCTGCAAACATCCCTCACACAGGCATCCAGGTCTGCATACCTGCAGGGACACTGGAGTCACGCCTGGAGAAGGCCTTGGTTTTTAACTAAGGAAGCCCAGGAGCTATGTCCAGGTGGTTAGCCCATGGCCTGCAGCCTCCTGACCTGTGGAGACACTCAGCTGTCCCCACCCTGCAGCCAGGTCCACCCCAGACTCTGTCTAGCAGGTAGAGTTTGAGGACTCAGATGTAAATGCATACACATGTGGGATCTAATGGGGCTACAACCTGGTTCAAGCAGCTAGTCCAAAGTGGACCCAATTCCAGGGCAACTCAAGGGCACTGAAGAGGCCTAAATTGTCAGTTATTCTGAAGGCTTTGATAAGAGCCCAAAGAACCAAGGACCGGTTGGTTGGAGAAAGGGCGCTATTGGGCACCAGGAGCAAAAGCCTGCTGGGCAGAATGGGGTCTCTCTCATCTCCCTCTACCTGCTGGGGGAAGAGGGATAAGACCTGGCCCAAGAGAACATACCTACCTTCCATTGCAGGTGCCTGTCCTTCCTGCTGCAACAGCAGGGTTCCAATGGGTGTCCCTGTCTTGCAGTCCCAGGCTGTTACTAGGCGGAGGGCAGGGTGAGTGGTTGGCTGTGTGGATTGTGGACTTATCTGTGGCAATTTGCTCTCCTGTGTCCCACCCATGAGCTCGCTCAATTTGATAACACTTAGAAGGACAGGAGTAGAGTCTTCTGTATGTGTAGGAAACCTGCTTTTAAACCAGTGGGAGAGTCTGAGTAGTCTACCAGGAGCTAGGACCCCTCAGGGGCGGGCAAGCTCTGCTCTGTGGGTGGTACACAGCTGTGCACTCTGGCCTTCCCCATCATCACTGGCCTTCCCTTCCCCCCCCCACTATTCAGCCCCAGAAAGAAAGGTCTGCCTTGCGTCTGTTTTCTGAGCACATTGATTTTTCATTTTCTGCTTCTCTATGAACTCAGTGCTGGCTAAAGGACCAGCAAAGAGTGGAAGCCCAGTGAGTATGGCACAGCAGAGTGAATGGCACACAGCCCTGGGAGGGCAAGTGGAAGCTCCTTGCATGCCTAGAGGAGCCCCGGCCACTTTGGAGAGCCCCTGTATGGCTGTCTTCACACCACAAGCTCTTTCTGGGTAGCAGGCATTAGGAAACCATCCTAGGTGATTATCATTCTGGCTTCTGTTCAAAGGCTGCATTGGCCACCCCCAAGCCTGGGATGGGGCAGGAGTTCTTTTCTCCGAGAAGCTTCAAAGTTGAAATGGAGGAGGCACAAATTGGCCCTGAGTGTCCTTGTGGGGGCTTGGTACTGTCTCCAGGCCCTATTACTATCAGTTCCTCACTGTCACAGCCTTGGGGTTTCTTTCCCAGCTGGAAATTAAACTCTGCTCCAAAGCCATGGTTATCAGCTAATAGCCTGAAGCACTCTGGGAAAGGCACCTTCTGTTCAGTTTTTCCCTGCATCAGTCAGTTCAAAGGCTCACTGTGCAGGTATTTTTAATTCTCAGTGTCTCACTTGACACACACAGCAAAATAGGGTATGTTGGCCAGGGTCAGCAAATTCACCCCAAGAACAGCACCTTCACCCTACTTCTTGAGTCTGGTTATCATCTCCCAGGACTCTGCAGGGCCACCCAAACTGCTGGCTTCTCCAAAGGCATGGCAGCACACAGTTTTGCCCATTTACAAATGTGGTCAGTCAGTCCTTGTGGTCCAGTCCACTGCTGGCTGAGGCTCTGGCCACTCTCCCTCCCCCGTCACATCCTCAAGCATGGGACAGGCCACTTTACTGTAGCAGATGTGGAAGTACTGTTGCCAGCTCTAGTGCAGCCAGTGCTGCTGGGTCAGGCACCAATACTTTGGAGTGACCTATCAGCCAGTCCTTGCTCTGTGAACTGGTGGCACCCCCAGTGCTGGTGGTTATAAGTGCTGTCCTGGTTTGCTCAGTGTGCCTTGGTAGATCCAGGAGGATGAGCCTCCCCTCCCACAGAGCAGCCATAGTGTGCAGAAGCAGGGGTGCTCAGAGTCCACTGGTTCCCAAGCTCCCCTCACTGATTTCTCTCCATATGCCTATTTAAGCACCTGCCATGTATGTTCGCTAGGGCCTTCGGGTGGTGGTGCCTGGATCTCCTGAGGTGGCAGGGGCGTGCAGGGGATGGCACTAGGTAACCTTAGGAGGTGAGCCACCATTTTCCACCACGATCAATATTATAGTTAATATTCGGCTTACGGGCGGAGGTCTGCAAACACAGGGCCTCTGACAGATGATTCCAGCTGTTTCCCCATCAGGAAAGGAGGCTGACGGTCGCTGGGCGCTAGTCTCCGCCGTGACCGCTGCCCGGAGGGCCATCCCACGCTGACAACCCTAGGGAACACCCCTCTGGACTCCTCACACGCACATTCCTCACCCCCGTCCCGACTCCTCCACGTGAACACCCCACCCTGCGGACTCTACCCCTCGGCCCCCGCGCTACCTGCTGTGCCCCTCGCCGCGCCTCGGACCCCGCTGGCCGGGGCCCGCGGTCGCCACCGGAAGCGGCCGTCAGTCCCCCGCCGCGCCGCCGCCAAGGCCGCCATTGCCGCGCGGGGCCTCTCGGGAGGGCGGGGCTGTCCGCCGTGCTGCCTGCGCGGCCGACGGCGAGTCGCGTCTAAGGTTGCGGGCAGCCGCTGGAGTGGGAGACGTGAGTGCTGGGGCTGGGTCTCTAGAGAGTCTAGGTACCGGACCTGAGGTGGGGGCCCCCTAGCTGGAACGAGGGATGGAGTCGGGTTGGAACGTTTGGGGAATTCGGGCGAGAATGAAAGAATCCGACCTGGGGTGGAGCCTTTGGGGTGAGAGACAGGGAATCTGTTAGAGGATGGGGCATCTGGGGATCTATCCGGGAGTGAAATGGAGGGGTGGGAAATTAAGACCCCAGTGAAAGGATCTGACTTTGGATGGGGAGGGTTGAGGCAGTGGCAAATCTGTGAGACGGGGCCTGTCTCACTTTGGGGGGTTCACGCCTAGTCTTTGAGCTGGGATCAGAGCTTGGGGAGTGGGAGGATTGTGGGGGCTCAGGCCAGGAGAGGCTCAGTGATCTCCCCAACAGGTTTCCTCTTGGAAGCATTGGAGTACTCCCAGGCTTTTCCTTTGGAGAGGAATGACTGCAAGGGGGACAGGATGACTGGGGAACAGGATGACTACAGCCCAAATGCAACCAGACTGGGTCACAGTGATATGAGAAAAAGGGGAAACCACTCTAGCCTGTCCTACCAGCAGACAGGACTTTGGGTTTTTTCCAGCCAGGGACTTTTGTGTTCTTTTGTTCCAGACTGGGCTTCCCTGCATGCCCTCTGCTGCCCAACTCCTAGAGGGGCTCTGGTGAGGAGGCCCAGTCAGGAGAGTGGTATAAACACAGTTGACACAGTATAAGGTGTTAAGAACAGATTTTATCCAGTAAATACTGATTGTAGGGGAGAGAGTGGAGTTCCATTCTGATTTGCTCAAGAGACACTGGGGATTGTAAAGGGAGAATGAGAATGGGAACAAGAGGAGTTTAAGAGAATTAGGGAAGTGAAAAATTACAAAAAGAAGAAATGGGGTTCAGTCTCTGTGACATTCATCTGACATTCATTTGCTAAGTGACTTATGGAGGTTTGTTTTTTCCCCTCTCATGGAGTCTGGGAGACTGGACCCTGTCCTTAGGTATTAGCTGAAGCAGTCAGTTCTTTTGGCAACTTTGAATTTTCTTGGGCAGTCACTTTAAGAGGACAGGGGTCATCCTAGGAATGTGTCCTTGTGCTGATAGAAACTGCTAGTGTTTGTCCCTTAAAGTTGAGGCCTAGACAAGAAGAGGGCTCAGAGGAGCCCTGATTTGGGTTTGGTCAAGGAAAGAATCTGTCATGTCCCCTCTTATTGAAGGAAAGATGTAATAGTCTTCTTTCCTCTGAACAATCTAAGTCCATTTTCTATTTGATTACTTTTTGTTCATTAAGGATCTTCTTAACCTTCTTTTGGAACTTGATTTTTGTGTGTTGATTTTATATCCTGCTACTTTAGTAAACTGGTTTATTGTTTTAATTAGTTTTCTGTGGAGTGTTTAGGGTTCTCTGTGTATATTTTATCATCTGCAAATAGTGATAGTTTTACTTCTTTCACTATTTGGATTCCTTGTATGCCTTTCTCTTGCCTTATTGCTCTAGCTAGGACTTAGAGTGTTATGTTTGAAAACCAGTGGTGAGAGTGGACATCTTTGTCTTATTCCAGATCTTAAGGGAAATGTTTTCAACTTTTGACCATTGAGAATGATATTGGCTATGGGCTTGTCATATATGGCCTTTATGATGTTGAGGTATGTTCCTTGTATCCCAAGAATTTCGAGGGCCTTTATCATAAATGGTCTTCCAGTAGTGTGGGGTTTGATCTCTATGAAATGGGAGGGTTCCTTTCTTTCTTTTTGTGGTTGATTTCTAGCTTGCTGCCTTTATGATCAGAGAAGATAGTAGGCATGATTTCAGTCTTCAAGTATCTGTTGATGTTTGTCTTGTGGTTCAGTATGTGCTCAATCCTGGAAAATGATCCATGTGTTCTTGAGAAAAATGTGTATTCGGATTTTGGGGGGTACAGTGTCTTGTGTATGTCTGTTAGGCCCATGAGGTCTAGGTCTTTGTTTAGGACTATAGTGTTCTTGTTTATTTTTTGTCTCATTGATCTGTCCATTGGTGAGAGTGGGGTGTTGAAATCTCCTACTTTATATGTATTTTTTCTAATGTTTGTTTTCAGAAATGATAATAATTAATATATTTTGGTGCTCCTTCATTTGGTGAGTATATATTGTTGAGTGCTATATCTTCCTGGTGTATTGTCTCCTTGATCATAATGTAGTGACCATCTATGTCTCTTTTACCTTTCATAGTTTGAAGTCTATTTTATCTGATGTAAGTATGATTGCTCCTGCCTTCTTTTGGGTTCCATTTGTTATAGAATTGTTTTCCAACCCTTTACATTCAGTCTATGGTTATGTTTTGCAGTTCGCTTTGTTTCCTGGACACAGCAGAAGGTTGGATTCTGTTTTTTAATCCAGCCTGTTACTCTGTGTCTTTTTATTGATAAATTTAGTCTATTTACATTTAGGGTTATTATTGATCACTGGAGTCTGTGCGTGCCATTTTGTTCCTCATTTTGTGGTTCTGTTCCTTACCTTATTCTGTTCTTCCTATTCATGCATCTGTTGGCTTAGACTTAAAGGCTCCTTGTAATATATTTTGGAGTGGGGGTTTGGTGGTAATGAATTTCTGAAGATTTTATTTATCTGAGAAGGCCCTTATTTTTTCCTCGTAGAGGAAGTAGAGCTTTGCATGGTATTCTTGGTTGGCATTTTTTGTCTTGGAGTTAGTTGAATATGTCACTCCATTCTCTTCTTGCCTATAGTGTTTCTTAAGAGAAGGCTGATGTCAGCCTAATTGGTTTTCCCTTACAGGTTATCTGTTTCTTCCTCCTCATCAATTTCGATATTTTTAACTTGTCTTGGACTCTTGGAAACTCTTCTATTATGTGTCTTGCTGTAGTTTCAATGTATGGGAACTGATCAAGGTACCCTATCTCATGGGTGATTGTTTGCCAGACTCAGCAAACAGTAGGGATGTCTAGAGTGCCTTCTGCAGGCCAGCCGACGCCCAGTGCCGGCCTTTCAAGCTCACAGTATATACGTAACTTTCCAGGACTGAGTTTAACACCAAAGTCTCCTGAGAATCCCTTTTTGAAGTTTTTAAGCATGGTCTCGAGGACCATCTCTTTGCTCTGATTCCCTCCCGTTGTGTTCAATGTCGCAGCTAGGGAAGAGGGAGCATACAGATGCTGTCCTGGCCTTCCCACTCTCGGAGATTTTGACAAGTCACCGTTCAGCCATATGACTTGTCAGCGGAACCGCAGGTAAAGCCCAATCTATCTCCATAGCTGCAGCTGTGGAGATTTCATGCACACATACCACCCTCTCACACACACACCGGAGGTTATAACCATACCATCCCTCCCTTTCTGGGAGTTCCAAGGTCCCCTACCTAAACCAAATGAGACCACTGAGGTCTCCCTGAGAGGTGATCAGCCTCTCCTTCTACCACTCTGGGTAGGCCCAGTGGGAACCAGGGTCCCCGCACCTTACCAAGTCCTGGCCTCCCTCAGCCCTTTGGAAGTCCAGCTGGGGGCTGGGACAGTGTTGCAGGGGCTGGGCGGGAGCAACCAAGTCAGAGACCCTTTGAAAGGTCCTCAGGGGAGTGTGCTTCCCCTTTGTTGGCTCTCCTTCTCCTCCTCCTAAGCCAATGGCTCAAAGGGCCAACAAACTTATTCCTGGCCAACTCACCAAAATGTTGTAGAAATATATTCTAGCTTTTTTCCCAGGCAGAGGAAGAACAAGCGGTACTTCAGGAATGGTGAGGTCAGGAAAAGCTTTATTATTTATGCATGAGGTCCCAGACCTGGGTAGCCCCTTGTAAGTCTGAGCACCGGTTTATACACAACTTTGCTGAGCACCTTTTATACACAACTGTCTTTGTGTTTGTTACATTGATAGCATTGTTTTTCAGCAGGCACAACCATTTGCTGCAAAGTCCCCAGACAAAGGCTGGAGGATGGGCAAAGGGGGGAGGATGGGCAAAGGGGGAAAGAGGCAGACACCTGGAGATGGCCTTGGAGAGACAGACCAGCTTGACTGGCTACCAGAAGACCCTTTTGAAATACAGCTTGGTTGAGATAGGAGTGCTGAGGCTTTGGCCATGAATCTTGAAAGGGAAGGAGCTGTAAGTAAACAAACTTGTTGATTATGCCTGCATTGGAGTGTTCACTGCACCCGGGCTGGAAATTCTGCTAGAATCTTTATTCATTTGCTCAATGATATATTTTCTCATCATCATTGACTAACTTTTCAATATCTTACATGGTTGTTGTTCATTTTGCATTCTCTTTCCTTTAATTTCAACACTTTGGTTTTTTTTTCCCTGAGAACCTATAATTTTGGCATTCAAAAGGCCGTACCCTGGTATCTTTTGGCATTCAAAAGGCCATACTCTGTTGTGCAGGCACTTAAAATAGTGCGTATCTTTGGTGAGTGATATGTGTATTTGTTATTATTATCAGCCTGTGGCTTTTAAAACTTCCCTTAAATCTGTTATTTTACCACTTTTAAATTCCAGATACATTATTTCTCTCCCTTTTCTTGGATAACTTAGCAAATGCTTGCCTATTTTCTTAGTCTTTTCAAACAGCTCTTTATAGGACTTTTTTAACTGAATAAAAAAGATGCCTTTTCAACCACTCTAACAAATAAAATACTATTTTTTCCCACCACTATCCCTTATAGCCCTTTGACTCTACCTCCCTTCTCCCCGTTTATTAGTGTCTGCTAATTTTGGTATTTTGCTTTGTCAAATTGGCTGCTATGAAATCCTCCAATATTTGTTTTTGTCATTCTGACTTTGCTTTACTGAACATAATCCCCTCTAACTCATTTCCATTTGCTGTAAATCGCAACATTTCTGAATAATATTCCATCATGTGGATATACCATATTGTTAGGAGAGTGGATGCTTGTGGGTCCAACTGTGTACTTCAGTTGAAGGATAACAACTGCCACACCAACGTGAGAGCAAGCAAGTTGAATTTACTGAAGCAAGAGGGAAGGACACCTGACAGCAGGTGGAGGTCCAAGGGAGGATGCCATTTACTCCCACTCTGTCTGTGACTATATACTGTCAGACTTCCTATTGTCCAATGTGCCAGACTACTGAATAGGCACTAGCTGGTCGGGAAGTTTCCTGGTGGTGGTTTTTCTGTTCCCTAATTATCTGGTAACCGGTCTTATCTAGGTGGTTACTAGCTCAGCAACGTTTCAGTAAAATACTTTGATTTTCCGGAAACTGTTTTGTTCCTTTTGTTCTGATATTGTTTAAAATCACTGTCCTGTGTCTCAGCCATTCCCGTTCCTCAAGTTCTCCTTCTCGGTCAGTGGGTAGTCAGATCATTTCCATGTTCTTTCTATTGCATATAATGCTGCACTAAGCATTGTAGGGCATATAATTTGAGTTGATGGTTTTACTTTTTTTGGCTATGTACTCAAAAGTGGGTGTTTTTCAAGGTAAGTCCAGATCACTTCCCAAAATGCTGCACCAGTTTACATTCCCACCAATAGTATTAAAGGGTTCCTCTTTCTCTGTCATGCTCTCCAGCACTTCTTGTTGGGCGTCTTTTAAAATATGTGCTGTTCTCACAGTTGTGCGATGATATCCCACTGTGCTCTTGACCTACATCTCCCTTTTCAAAAGTGATGCTGAACATATTTCCATGTATCACTTAACCTTCTGGATTTTCTCTTTAGTGACTTATCAGCTTGGAGCTGCTGCCCACTTACTAACTGGGTTTTGTTGTTAAATTGATTAAGATTTTTGTATATCTGTGATAAACCTCTTGTTTGTGTAATATGTGATTATTTCCTCCCATTCAGTAGCATTTGTTAGAATTATATTTTCTTTTGCTGTATAAAAGCTTTTTAATTTAAGATAACCCCAATTGTTTGCTTTTACCTTTTTTTCCCTTGCCATAGGGATCAGTTCTCCAAAGACATCTTTATCACTGGTGAAACATATCACCTATGTCTTCTAATATATATTTTGCAAATCATCTAAGTCTTTAATCCATTTTGAATTTACTTTTTTACACATGGACTTAGAGACTGATTCAACCTTACTCTTTTACATGTGGCTGTCCAATTTTCCCATCAACATTTGTTTTTTTTTTTTTTTTTAAATTATTAATGGTGCTCTATAACTTTATTTATTTATTTATTTGTTTGTTTTGTTTATACAAGCACTGGGTACAGTCAGAAGCGCGGGAGGGTGAGAGAATTCACCAGAGCCAGAGTGGGGAGCAGAGCAGGCAGAAGGACCGAAGTACACTGCTGAGGGGAGCAGCGGGCGGCAGGAGAGGTCTGCGCGCCATGTGGGACCCTCCTCTGGTGGCCAGGGAGCAGCCGGGGATCGAACTGGTGCTGCAGAGGCTGCGGGCAGCTTCGCAACCCAGCGCTCAACCGCTGCGCCACAGGGGAGGCCCTCCCATCAACATTTGTTAAAGAGATTCTCTCAAATGTCGTTATGATTCCTTTACTATAAATTAAATATTGATAGATGCATGGGTTTATTTTTGTGCTTTCAATACTATTCTATTGATGCTTGTGTCTATTTTTATTCTAATACTATATTGTTTTCATCTCTATCAGGTAACATGATGCTTCTATTTCTCTCCTTTTTTCTCAGGATTATGACAAAGGCCTTTTAGGGTTCCAAACAAGTTTTACTCTGTTGAAAGAATATCATTGGTATCTTAAAGAGGATTGCATTAAATTTATGTATTGCTTTTGTTAGAATAGTCATTTTGACTATATTGTGTCTCCCCATCCATGATCTATATGTCACTGTATAAGTCATTAACCTGTTTGTTAGATTAAGTCCTGGGTATTCAATTATCTTTGAAGAAACTGTGACTGGAATGATTTTCTTAATTTTTCTCCTCTTTCATTATTTGTTTATAAAAATGCAACTGATTTTTGTATATATTTTTTTAACCTGCCACTTTACTGTAATCATTTGTTGTTTTTATTAGCTTTTTGGTGGTCTTCTGGTTTTCTATATATGTTATATTAAATTGAACGCAAGGTGCGGAACCCAGAACCTGGGCTGGTGGATGGAAGAATGAAACCACCACAGGCATACAATAACAAGAAAGCCAAAGAAGTTTATTTAAAGAAATAGGACAGCTCCTGCCAGCAGTGAGGGACTAGGAGGAGATTTACACAGGGAGAGAGAAAGAAGCAGAACATCTCCCCAAACTGGAAGGGTCCTGAAAAGAGTTGAGCTGGGTGAATATAGTGTCAGATGTTTTAGAGCAGTGCTCATGTTTTAGGCCTAAGGGAACAGCCGTGGTGGTCATGCAGTTCCTTGATTGGCTGTTTGGGACTTATGTCCTAATATAGGCAAACTGGCAATTTCAACATGGTGTTATGATTTTCTTTTTTGTTACTGAATTTTCCCTATCTTCCTGTCAAGGTCTAACTCCTCAGTATCACTGTAAATGATAGTTTTAGGTCTTTTCCATCTTGAGATCCTTTTATTTCCTATTGTTTGCTGATCTAGTAAAGCCTCTACTACTTGATTAAGCATATGTGGTAACAGTTGACATTCTTGTCTTGTTACTGATCTTAAAGGGAAAGCCTTCAGTTTTTACTACTAAACATTAGATTGGCTGTAGGTTTGTGATACATGACCTTTATTATGTTGTTTCTTCCGTTCCCACTTTGTTAAGAGTTTTTATCATAATTGGGTGCTGAATCTTGTCAGATGCTTTAACTGCATCTGTTATTATAATAATTTTTTAAATCTCTTATTAATGTTTAATACTGATTGATGTATATGTATATTAAACCATTCTTGTGCCCTGGGATAAATCCCACATGATTATGGTATGTAACACTTGTAAAGTTTTGTTGAATTTGACTTATAGTTCAGTATTTCACTGAAAATTTTTGCCTCAGTATTCATCTGGGATAGTGGTGTATAGTTTCTCTTTCTTGTGTTCTCTTTGTTCTATTTTGATATTAGCGTAATGTCCTCATAAAATGTATTACAGAACATTCCTTTTTCTTGGATTTTTACAAATAATTTGAGCGAGATGAGCTTACATTATTCTTTAAAGGTTTGATAGAATTTGCTTTAAAGCCTTCTGGTCCTGGGCTTTTGGGGGATATATTTTTAAAATTTTTTTTACATCATTGTTCATTTTTAAACAATATTTGCTTCCCTCCACCCCCTCAGATGTAGTCCCCATAGAAGTTCCTTCACCAATGGACCTGTGCACCATCACCTCACTCCCCTGTGCTCCTCCCTTCC